CTTTCTTTCTTTCTCTCGTACTTTCCCTCCCTCCTTTCTCTTTCCTTTTCTACTTCTCTCATCCACCATTCCCCACCCCCGTTTTCTCATTCTCTACATCTTTCCCAAGTATGTTCCCAAGTCTCTAAACTCCCCTTTAATCTGCCTACTCTAACAAAGAAAGTAATAATTACGTGTTCACGAAAATTCATGTCAAATTATTGTTTCTTCTTTATGACGTTATTTCATGGATTATTATTATATATATTATTTCCTCACAGTTGAGACTCTACCCTTTGGAGGAATAGGATATTCTGGCATGGGTGCCTACCATGGAAAATATACGTTCGATACGTTCACGCATAAGAAAGGTTGTTTGATTCGGAATTACAACAAGATTGCGGAGACCTTGGCCAAGTAAGTGAATCTTCTCTTTCATATGATCAGATAATTATACGCTTTAAGTTATTGAACGGTACATTTTGTTATTAGTGAGCACCTTAGTACCAAGCAGAAAATGTGTTTTTCAGGGTCCGCTTTCCACCCTATTCCGATCATAACCTGAGGTTGCTTAGACATCTGATGGAAAGAAGACGTGGTTGGCCTGTTCTGAAGTATATACCATATATACTTATGTTCGGTCTCGGGGTGCTGGCCACAGTCGGAATTAAAGCTGCAATAAAGGTACAAAAATGATATTGAAGCGCACATAATCTCATGTCATACATACATGTAAGTGGGCTAAATATAAGTTGTAATCATTGTAAAAATATTGAATAAAACATATGCATATAAATAGTGGCATAGTTGTGGGAAAAGGATGGTAAAGGAGGCAAGGCGTGAAGGAGGAAAAACGTTCGTGATTCATGAAGTATAAGTTCTCAGAGGGCGTGCATATAATTGTCCAATATTGATTTGTGTACTTTCGTAATTTCATTATAATTTAAGGTAAAGAGACACGACCGTGTGTAGCGTGTGCAGTTGTGGTTGCTTTTGAGAATGTTGCGCCTGACTTCTGCGAATAATATTTGAATGTTTCAATAGACGCTCGGAAACGCAATATCACATGTTACTTCGTCACTGTGTGTTACTTTCATTATTTTCAATCGATCAGTAACAGGACAACTGTGTTGAGCACTCATGTGGGGTGAGAGAGAGAGAGAAAAAGAACAAATGCGTATGTTGTTGCAGGAATATGATTACACGGAGGAACAATTGTAATCCACAGCCCCCGATACTACGCAGGTACCTTCAAAATGTAGGAGGTGTAGGATGCAATGTTAATTTACACAATTGTCACACATTTTTTACGATTAATCTTATAACACACTAGAGTAACAATTCTTGTATAATGTTTTCATATATCGCCTTTACTCTGTGAAGCAGATGTTTCACCGCACATATGTACGAAATATCTTTGATCTTTACTTATACTCGTGAAACGTTTGGGAGAGAGTATTATATTATGGCAAAAAGTGAACACTCTTAGTGGGATAAGCTCCAGCGAGTCGTAAAATAAACCTTTGTTGATTAAATCTTTTGTTTGCACATTGCTCTGCGTTTTTTTCTTATATATGCAATCGAACAATTGTTTTCGTCACGTCCGCATCTGCGCGATGTACCGACGCGGCGACGCCGAGCGCGCAGGAACTTAACTTTTACCGTACTTTCAATTCAATTGAAAGGGCAAACGGAAAGAACGGTCCGCGACACATTTCTTTTTATCGTTAACATAAAGCGCGACTCAAAGGCTCTACAATCGCATGCGCAATTAAATTGACGCTCGATGTTGCAAGTAATTTTACGAACGACGTGATCCTGAGACGCGCGCGCGCGCGCACATTCAAATCTGCCGGCGGCGCCGCGATACCTCGCGATACCTCGCGCCAACAATCGAAGCGGTATCTCGCGCTCGCGCCAGTCCCTTCCACTCCTTCCAGATGACAATTGCCGTCGCGCGAGGCGAGAGAGAGCGAGCGAGCCCCGTGCGCACCCGATAACCTGCGCATAAATCCCGCTGGTGTGTGCATGCGTCATTCCTCCACGTCCGGGAGCAACACACTGGCCGTACGCCCGAGCAGGCCGAGCAATAAACCGTTATCGCACGAATTACGTGAGTATAAACAAGCGAGTGGCCGGCGGCCGACGGGGCCCGTTCGCCGATTATCGGCGGCCGCGCGGGTGTCAGTCGGTTAGCGCGCCGCGCGACCACTGGCAACGTGTCTATTTTTCCATGGGATTAATTATGTAATGTGTTTTCCCCGGAGCGTCGAGCGGCATTAAGGACGTTTCGTGCCGCCGTCGCCCGTCGCTCGGCGACTTTATTTAGCGCGCCCGAGCAGGCTCGTAACGTACAACACGTACGACTGCGAGAGAGAAGGAGAACGGAAGGGGGGAAGAGAGAGAGAGAGAGAGAGAGAGAGATAGCACGTACAAATTTATCGCCCGCGTGACAAAGCCCTTAACGAGTATACGAGACAGATTGCTCTTCCTCTCCCTCCATCTCTCTCGCTCGGTCGCTCCGCGGATTGACTTCGTATCCTATATCTGTGTCCGTGCATTGCAGAAGCAATGGTGGCCCATACCGTACTCCTGGACTTCACGGTGTCCAGTAGCGTGATTGCCGATATGGAGAAGCGATCCGGGCTGAAATCGGCGATCGCGAGCGTACTGGCGGAGCATTTCGCCGGCCTCAAGCCACTGACAGAGTCTAACATCGACGGCAGTTTGCTCGTTTTATATACCGGACCCAGGGGCAGTCTGATCACTGTCAGGGGGTACACGGAGGGTCTGATTACGTTAAACATCGAGTATTACAAGCAGGACGACCAGGAGGCGCTCTTAACTTTCGAGGTATGTATGCGCATATTTGTATATACATATAACGTTTGCTAAGAACGCCTGACGGAAAAGAAATATCTATCCGAGTGCGCTAGTACTCTCGAGAGACACCACCTACCCCTCCAGGCAGGGTTTTCACGATCGCTCCGTCGGAGACTCACTTAAGAGATGTAGAAAACGAATGGACGATAACGACAAAAAAAAGCAGATCGCGCGCGAACGTCGTCTGTTCTCAGAGAGAAAGAAAAAGCCGCGCGATTTTTCCACTCGGCGGGGGGGGGGGGGAGGGGTCGTGGCGGATCGGACCAACTTGATTGGATGATTGGCGTGTCGAGTTTTGCGCGAATTGAACTTAGAGCGAGACACGTAGTGCAGTAAAATGCAGGCTGTTGAAGGAAAAGGGTTCGAGACTCGAGGAACAATCGCGAGCTCACTAAACTGAGTAAAAGATATTTCGCCCGCGTACTTGGAGAAACTGATCCTGTCCAAGCGAGTCTTGCCGTTCGAATTATACGAGCGCGACTTGTGTCTACAAGGATTGGAGTATAATTTCTCTGGGGATGGGTGGGGGTTTATATTCAGATACGAAATGAATGATCGATCCTTGGACAACCTTCCGTTACGCATCTACGAGCTCTGCGAATTACACCAATTGATCCCTGGCTTCTATATGTTGTTCACGAGAACTTGACGAAGATTACCGTACTCCAAGATGAAGCAAATAAAATCGTTTGTGCGACTATCGTGTCTCTTTTTATTTCTCCGTCTTTATCTCAATGAATGACAGAAAGTGACGAGATAATTACGGTCAGATTCAATTGCAATTACTTTGAGACAAGATCAGTCATTATCGTTTATGTAAATGGAGAAGCGGTACATTGTTTATCTTGTATTGTTAGTCTTAAAGTTCGTTACATAACGAGTCTTTGCACTGACGAAACAACTTAGAATGCATATAAGGTCGAGTGAACTATGTTGGAATTTGTAAAGGAAACATTGCTACAACTGCTGCGAGGGAAAAGAAATTATCTTATCGTACTCGAACGATAAGATAGTATTCTATCTAGGAAGTAGAAAGTATGCGCGACGGTGTGGGAGGAATTTATTTTGGAATTTTGCCGTTCGAGTGAGTTCTTTACTCGGTTTTTGAGTATTACATGCGCCTTCGTCAGTCCCGAACCGTTTGTTTTAACATTCTGTGTAGAATTTTCTTTTATAACGGAAGTAGGAGATATGACATAACTGACAGAACGTTGTAGCAGTGGCGATACTTGGAAGCTGATGTTGCCATGGCTTTGAACAGCCAGCGCAGCAAGCGTTTACCGCCAGTAAGACGAGGAACCATATATGACCTCTATCTGACACTATCAGGTAGAAAATGCTTTCCCTCAATTAGATTTTGTTCCTCGTTCACTTCTCCTATAACACAACTACATTACTTTACATACTCGTAGATTTATTTCGTGAAATATTTCGCATAGAGAATTACAATTTCGCTATTGACTGTCACTAATAGATATTTAGGATAAGCCGCTTGCCAGGAATGCTGACTTAATTTTGTTCCCACTGTTACGTTTCAGCCCGAAATTTTCTACCCAGCACTCAACTCGCTCATTAAAAAAATAAAAAAAGTTTCGTTTCATTCATTCGAATACATAATATTCAAATATGAATTTACTTTGTACAATTGTTCCCACGCCTTCCTACGGTCGTACGAATAAAAGTTCTTGGACGGCTGCCGCAGCGCGCGGGGCGTATTTCGTTGCGAGATATAAGAAATTGGATTTGCTATCAAAAGACGAACCCGACGTAGACGTGGCTTCCATTATAAATTGTTACCGTTGCATTATATTTTTCTTTCTCTCTTGATGCGCTGTAAATCATGACTCCGTTAAGATGTCTGTATAACAAGACTACGCGACATTAGATAAAAATTGAGATTTCGCCAGATACAGTTGAAACGCGCGTAATACTTTTACAATATGCAATTACGAAACTCTCTCTCTCTTTCTCTCCCAAAATACTACTTTTATAATAGTTTATGTCCTTTTTCACTTAAAAATTCTCGAATCCGCAGGCATTGTTAGATTTTAGATCTTTAGAGCTGTAAACTTCCTCGGATCGTCGTTCTTTTAGTCGTACGGCTGCAATAATACGACAATACGATCATACACAGACACCGCCCTTTTCTTTATCACGATCTGTTAATTTTTCTTTCTTTTACCGCTTGTTACGTACCATTTTGTTGGACAAAAATAAGCCCTGCCATATATCGTGGCTTGCCAGATCTTAACACCTTTTTTTAGCTTCCTTAACATCAAGGAGTGTAGCGATTCCGTTTTACAAGATAGTGTCTTTGTTCTGTTCAATTCTCATTGGTTCGGCTTGATGATGATGATGATGATGATGATAATGGTGATGATGATGATGATGATGATGATGATGATAATGATGATGATGGTGATGATGATGATGATAATCATGATGATGACGATGACAATGATGATAATGATGGTGGTGGTGATGATGCCGATGATGGCCGGTTATGGTAGTTGGCCAAAGAATTGGAAGCGGCGTTGCAGACAGCAGCAACCGCTACACGGTCGCACACGCTTACTCCAATTAAACGCGGTGGACCCTTTGAGAGATACTATCCTACCGCCGGTGAGTTTTTATTTATAATTATGTTTACGGACGAGCTAACGGCCGCTCTTACAACGGAACTGCTTGTACTTAAGGGGCTCGATCCGATTGGAAAATTAATATTGTGCGTCGACTCGTAAATATTAGCATTACAAATGTCCTCGCGTCTCAGCGTTGTCTCTTGCGGAAAGTACGAATACGAAGGCCGTTGTAAAGTTGTATCCCGAGGCGTTTGAAGACGTAAACTCGTTGAAAGCTACGAGTCCATACAATCGATTGAAAATGTTGACGTTCAATTAAAGCTTGTTATTAGGTTTGGCGATTTCTATGATTCTAGACCCATCGTGTTCGTTAGTAATATGCAAACCCCCTGCGCTCGGCTCGGTTCACTCTGGAACGTCTCTCCGCGTTAATCCCGAGGACATTATTTCTTCTGTTCTTGCATGACAAAGCGCCCAGTTTTAATATAGTTAATCTTTTACAACTTCCTCATATCATTCTTTCATCTGGTTATGACGCTAACGTTCCCATGCGTGTTATCAGCTTTGCCTTGTTTTCTACTCTTCGCAGTGTTTTCTTTTCATGTATAGAAGCATGCTTTTAAATTAACATTATTACGAGACGACGACTTGTGTCGCCAATAAACATTACCCTTATTCAAGACGAGCGACTGCTGGAGTACGACATCGACAAGCTCGTGTTCGAGGCTAGATCACCGTATCAGAAGGTACAAATTGTGCACTCCAAGTCGCTAGGCAATCTGCTGGTACTCGACGAGTTGCAAAGTAAGTCGTATTATGTTACTGGCTTTATCTATTATATTTACAACTTACTAGAAATTCTTCTGCAGACATGTCCGAGGCAGATCTTATATACACAGAAACGCTGATGCAACGAGGCAAAGAGAATTACGCTGGCAAGGAGATAGTGATACTCGGTGGTGGCGACGGCGGCCTATTATGGGAATTGTTGAAGGAAAAACCAAAGTTTGTCACGATGCTCGAAGTATGTTAATCGAATCTCATGGGTCAGGTATACAAGTGGCGTTCTGTCTGTTTTTACACGTCCTTTTTTGCAGATTGACGACATCGTCATGAAAGCCTGTAGCCAGCATATGCGGAGCATATGTGGCGATTGCCTAGACAAGAGAAAGGGCGATAATTATGAAGTAAGCTTCGTCTTAGGGCCGAATATTTTCAAATCTAAATATCTGAATACGTATTTTCGTAGACTCTTGTGATTTTAGATTCATAGGAATAATAATAATAATAATAATCTTTATAGATCATTGTCGGCGATTGTGTGAAAGCGTTAGCCCATATGATCGAAGAAGGACGACAGTTCGATTACGTCTTCGGCGATCTGACGGACATTCCTATCAGCACGACGCCACATGGTGACGCCTGGGATTTTATTAGACTAATTCTCAACTCTTCCATGAAGGTGTTGAAGTCTACCGGAAAGTATATGACGCATGTGAGTATCTTTACTCAAGACATTTAATTTCATTTATTATGCAATAAAGTGGTTTTGATTTTAACCGAAAGCAGTTAGTAGACACAATTTGATAAAACTACAACAGTAAAATTTTGGACACCTTAATGTAGATATGTGTAATAGATTTATTTATTGTTTTTTTGCATGTAGGGAAATGGTGCGTCTTGTCCAGAATCTTTGAAGATGTATGAAGAAGTTCTATCTCAATTGTGCGTGCCGGTCACGTTCACGAAGGATCGCGCTTTTGTGCCATCTTTTTTCGAAGATTGGATCTTCTATCAAGTCTCACTGAAATGATGGAGCAAAGAATATTCGGACAGGGCCTGGAGGACCATTACAAACCGGCCTCCTCACAGTCTGCTGTCTGTCTTATGACCCAAGCTCTACTTCCTAGTTCTAGCCTTATTAATTAATGAAATTAGTTCCTGAGTGAGACGAATCAAACTATTATTATTAATTAGTTCATTTTGTAATGTTCTCGAAAAAGATTTTCTCGAAAAAAAAATTTTTTTTAATGTAACGACAGCGTTGGAAGGTAAATCTAAAAACATAATAGATAATAACGGAGAAAAGAAGTATATATATCTTTTTATAATGCATAATAGATAAATATCTTATCCTTTAATTTGGTTTGTTTTTTTTATCATCTTCTGGATGCAAAATTTAAATTTAATATGCATTACTTCTTGTCGAAATACATCTTCCTAATAAATTTAACAATTTTTCAACGTATCATATTCCAACTTTTGCCTACTCTCGTCTATTTCTTAAAAACAGATAAATTTACATAGTTATTACCAATATTTTGGAGTGCAATTTCGACAGCACTCTAAAATACCTATACATAATAACTGTATATATACATATAATTTCTTCCATCGCTGCCTCAGTATCACGAATAAGAAATTGTTTCGTTTTCATTGATGAAATATTCAAATGCGGATATTGTTTTTTTTTAATGTGAAAACGTATAGATAAAAAAATTAGTGCTGTAAGATTTAGTTTGTTAATCGCAGACAATACATAGATAAATTTTTGTTGTTAATCCTTTATTAATCGATATAAATTAAATATTAGAAATATAAATTGCCTCACATTTAATTGTTTCTTTCTAATATTTCTGATTAGAGTAAAAGGATTAACAGCAATGATAGGTGCGCATTTATTATCTCTTTGCTTTCCTTTCTTCCTTTTCTCATTAAGTAGTTTTATCGCGGTCAGTCTGTTTATCCGCGATAACTTGTATATTGATACATATATGTCGATATAATATATCGTACATATATATAAATATAAATATATTCTGTATTTTATAAAAGCTCGATGTAAGAACGATAAAATTATATCGGGATAAATTATTTTTCTAACAAGCGTTTTCCTCTGATTTAAACAATTGATAAAATCTAAATAAACATACTTGCATTCAATTAACCCTAAACAGTATAAAATATCCACATGCAATACATATGGTACAATAAATTCGTATTGGTGTACTGAAATTTTTGTCTTGTGATCATTTTGTCGTATATTATACAGGTGTCGCAATAAAAATATTAGAATTTGATTTAAAGTACACTTGAGTCACGAAATTTGATAATATTGTAAAATTACCGTAAAGCTAATTTTGTTCTGATGACACATGTCAAATTTATACAGTTTAGGGTTAATGAAGCTAATAAGAAATGCGTGAGCATACAAATGTGAATTAATTGAAACGACGATAAATATTTCCAATTATTAGTTTTAGGAGTTTCTCCTAACTCCTTGTGCAATTTCACAAGAAATAATTTATTGGTGATATTATTTTCTTACAGTATTAGATATCGAAGCACATTTTAATACACAATATTATCTGTTTAACAGCATTAAGCGGTGATAAAATGCAAAATAAATAATAACCCTAGATTGCTTCCGTTTAATGCTAATAGTTGAACGAAATTTTAATCACATCTTAAAAATACTGAGCATCTAATGAATTGGAACTGCAGAATCTACTACTATACGCACAATTTAGTCATATAAGTGGAGAGAAAGGAATTACGAGATTATGAATTAAATTGATTAATTATTTACAACAGTATCATACAATCGTGAGTTTTATTTATAAAAAAGTTTTATTTATCACTTGAAGAAACTGTCGCAATAAGATTACGCATTTATAATATATTTGCTGTCAAAATTCATTGACCAACAAGCACACGTAGCACTTTCTATATAAACAAAAAAACTTCTACACGGTAAAATAAATACGCGATAGTTTTAGCAGAATAAAAACAGTCTTATCAATAAAAAAAATTACATATAATTCGGACTTTTAAGCACAGCATTTTTCAAAAGGGCACTAACCAATTTGTTTGATGTCTCAAGAACGACAAAGTATTCGTTGTATGAACAAGAAATACCACATTAAGCATCTGTGGCAGAGGTACTAAAGTTTATCGATGTACACAATAAATCTTTTACTCTCTCTCTCTCTCTCTCTCTCTCTTCTTTTCCTTCTCTCTTTGTCACTCGTATTCGATATCCTTTCTTACGTTCCTTCATTATCACGGAAAAGCTACAATGCAAGAGTGTCTTTTCAATTTATTTTACAAGAGATTGTATAAATTAAAAGAATCGGGCGTGCAATTCTAAGGTAGATCAGCCTTTTCAGTTTGCTTTCCATCGTTTTGGAAACTTTGGCCCCAATTGAAACACAAGAATGTCTAATTCGATCGGCGAATAGGATTACAGCTCGTTGCAGAGCTTTGCCTTGGATATCTCGGAAAACTGCCCGATCTCGTGGATCGCGGGCTCTATTTCAGTCTCCGCGAGTATCTGCTGCAACCATTGCTGCACCTGTATCGGATGTTCGTAGCTTCTCTCACGCTCCTTTGGGCGTCTAATTAATTCGGGATCATCCCGATCCAAGATTTTCTTGTCAAATTCCCGCGAATTACTTTCAACCGTCTCGCGCGACGACAACGCGTCCTGCTCGCAGGACTCCGTGGTCTTGCAGGACACCCCGAAGGCCTGTACGTTCCGTGAATACGCCTTGTCGAAAGCGTGCAGTCCGTCCAGAGACACGTGCGTCAGGCCAAGTTTGCGTTTTATAATCAAAAGCGGCGAGCATCCCGATATGGATAGGGTATCTTTAAAAATCTTCAACGCGTTAGTCTTCACGTTCCGCGAGTCTCGCAGCTGATTATCAGTGAGGAATGTGGAGGGCAAGCTTGAGATACGCACGGTCCTGTAGTCAGATACAAAATCCTTGCAACGTGGAAGGCTCAGACGATCCCTGGCTTTTTCCTGGTTGGATTTCTTGGTGATCGACTTGTCAAAACTAACGTGGTCCTTATTGGCGTCCTGATAGTCCACAACCTTGTACGGCTCCGCGTCCTTCACCGTAATGCTGTTGGATCCGTGTGTCTCGATATTGCCGAACTGTCGTATCTGTTCCTCTAGCTTGATCCTGTCGTTCAGGATGGCTACTGACGACGGCGCGAAGTCCAGTGAAGTTTCTATCAGCGAGAGTTGCTGTCTGTGGACGGCCTCGGCTTGACGCAGTAGTTGCTTCTCCCTGGATCGCAGGAGTTTCGACAGGTCTTCGAAACAGCTCCTGATTTCCGCCTCAACCTGCAAATTATAAATTTCGATTATGTAAAAAGATAAAAAATAGTATTTACCTCACGATATTACTCGTATTTCATCTCAAAACGTAAGTAAAGTCCTGTTATGAGACAGCAATCACAAATGTTCTTTCGTAACGATTACGCAATCTAATGGTGAATTTTCCACTGAACAAATTTCACTACAAGGGCAATAAATTCATGGTGGAATCAACGGTTGGTGCCCATTAATTTAACAGAAATCCCGTTATCTCATAATAGGGGACTCTCCTGCCGAGCAGAGTCGACAAGTGTCGATTAAGTTAGAATTAAATTCTAAGTGGAAAGTAGGGCTCGCTATTATACGTTTAAACGAAAACACGATTATACGTATAATTAGCTATCCGTTTATTAGAAACGTTTTTCCGAGTACACGTGTTTTTACTTAACAAACGTTTAAACGTTTACTAGGCTCTGATATACGTGTAAACGTTTAAATGTTTGTTAAACGGTCAGTAAACGTTTGTTAAACTAAACGTTTAAACGTGTAAACGTTTTTCTACAAATAACCGTTTTTCTGGAAGAAAATGTAAACGGATAAACGTTTCACGTTTAAACGTTGATTCGAAAAACGGAATAAAATCCGAGCCCTAGTGGAAAGCGACATGTGTCAAAAATGTCGACTGTGTTCGTTGAAAGGAAAACGGCCTACGTCTACTAGGTTCTGAGCGGAACGGCTCTCTTGTGCTTTAGAAACTAAATGGTAGCGTGTCACTTCAAGGCAAGGACCTCAAAACGTAAAACAGTGTCTCAGAAGTACAAAAGTGCAGCCATTCGGCTGAGGCCGTTACTTTTCTTCGTGAAAAGCACTGAACTCGACGGCAGAAGAGACTACACGGCGCGCGTTGCGGCGAGAATCGCGCGACAAAGATCCAGCGAGAGTCCGCCGTACGACGCAAGGCAGATGAAATCGAGAAGCGTACCTGGGCGGACTTGATTTCCAGGAGCCTGCGCTTGTCCGCTATCAGTTTAATTCGTGACTGATTGTCATCCGCCTGACACTGCTTGCCTGTCATGTTGGGTGCCCACGCGGGTTCAGCAGCACAAACGTGATGAGCTCGACGGCCGACGCTCCACGGCCATTGCGATGCACCTGGCAGGGTCGGATATGTCGGATCCAGTGTGAATCCTTGTAGAAGTCTGCGTTATCGACAATCTGCAATTATATTCTAGTGACTTACAGATTCCTACCATTCTCTAACTCGACCGGACGCAACAGCGGTGTACCGACCGTACCGACGTCGGCGCGGCGCGACTCTCCGCCCGCTCTCGCCGACAGATGTCGCCGCCTGTACCGGCGTGGATCATACCGCCCGCCGCGCGAAATCGGGTGTGGAAGCGCCATGCCGGCGAGCGGGAGGGGTCGGCGACGTCGGCGTGTGGCGCAAAGACGGTACAGGACGACGGGCGGGTAGTTTCGCGCGGCATAGCGCGGCTTGTCTTCGTGGTGTTTGCGGGCATGGTCGGGCACGGGTGCGACGACGTCGGCGCGTCTTAGCACACTCACACAATTCTATATACATATGTATATATGTATATACATAGAGGAAAGAGAAAGAGACACACAGAGAGGCGGATCGCTCGTGGGACCCGGAAGGAACGAGGAAGCGATCCGGTGGGATTATATTGAGAGAGATCGAGAGCGGTTGTGAGTCACGCGCCAACGTCGGCGACGGCGGAGACGACGGGAGTATACTATCTCTCTCCCCCTCGTTTGTTTATCTATCGATTTCACTCGTGTATCAGAAAGCGCCGGTGCTACCGGACGCCCGGTGGGCTCTTGCTCCGATAGGAAGTGGCCTTGCCCACGCGCCGGCTCCGCGACGCGACCGAGGGCTCACTCGACATTTGACAGCTCCGTGCTGGCCGGGGCGCCGAGTTCCGTGCCCGCAGGACGACGACGACGACGCCGCGGCGGCGTCGCCTCCTCCACGTACGCTTCCTCGCTAGACGGCTCGGGGAAAATTGGCGAAAGGTATATAGCCAGTCTAGGTACGTAACGCCTACGTGTCCGTGTGTGTACGCGCGCGCGCTGTCGCCCGTCCGTGACCCCCTCCCCCCTCCCTCGTACGTGTGTGGGTTGAATGAAGCGAATTGGGCACCTCCTCGTGCGGCAAGACTGCGCGCGCGCGTGTGTGCGTGGATCGGAAATCATTCAGAAAGCGGAGCTCAAGACGGCACGACCTGGATAGGAGCCGCCGCGCGCCACGCTAATGCCTCGGCGTACATCTTGTCGCGCCTGTGTGTACTTAAGCGCGGGGAGGAGGCCTCGCGAGCGCGTGTCCCCTGAGAAAGACGAGAGAGTTGGCGTTTTCGCGTCTCCTCGCGCGATTTCACGCACGCGCCAACGGAACGCGGCGCCGGCCGTCGCTTTTCTGCGAATAGGCGAGAATAAACGCTCCTCGCTCCTCGTTAATTCGGTTGACGCGCCGTTAAAAAGTCCAGCGGAATAGGTAGATTATACGTTTATTTACCGCGCGGTGCAATCCTCGTTTAGTATTTCATGGAATCGATCGATGCTTAGGCGCGCGCCTTACGTCCTTAAGCGAAGGATGAATATTCATGTCGCCTGTACGGTAGAGGTAGTGCCATTGATATTAACTACAATTAGAGTCGACAAAGGAGACAACGGGAGAGGATATCGTTGCGCGTATCCAAAATGCAATAATTGTCTAATCAGGATTCTAAATGGATCTTCAGACGTTTCGGTTCAAATTCGAGCCGTCCTCGGCGAGGTCGCACTGAGATCTCTCCAGGTGTTGGAGGCTAGGCCGGAGGCAAGAGCTTAGAGATTGATCAATTGGAAAGCCAAATGTTGACGTAGCGAAACCGCGGGACGAGACGAAGGCCGAAAAAACATGAGCGGAAAAAGTAAACGCAACCGTCGGAGAGTAAGGCCGGCATTACATTTGTCGTACGACAAATTTTTCAAGCGTGTCGGTCGGCCGCAAGATAGTAAAAGTCTCGAGGGTCTAGAAATTTTCTATTCAGCAGCCAATCAGTACGCTTGAAAAGTTTGTCGTACGACAAATTTTTCAAGCGTGTGACCGGCTGCGGGATAGTAAAGCTCTCGAGTATCTAGGAATTTTCGAGCTCGTAGCCAACCGAAACGCTTAAAAAAAATGTGCCGTACGACAAGTGTAACAGTACCGTAACATAAACCGTCGCACCGTGAGACAATTGCAGCCGAAAGATCGAAAGCGACAAGTTAAACGTTGCAGAGTGTCGTTCTTTCGTTCGCGTTAAAGAAATTTTCCATTTCCTCGTTTGCATTCGTCGAAACACATTGCCCCCCCTTTTTTTAAATCAAACTGACGGAAGAATGTCGTAACAACGCAATTCTTTAAATTGGCTCGTTTTTTTGCGTGACTCGGATCGGCAGGTCTCGTTTCGATGATAATTTCAACAATCACCGATGCAATTTGCATCAATTAACCGGTTCTTTTTCCCCACGCAATGTCGAGCACCGTCCTTCAGTGATACGGAAACCGCGGACCGCGCGCGGCGAAAGAACACACGCCGTAAATGCGACTCGCGAACGTGTGCTCGTCGTATGAAGCAGGCTTGAAAAGGTTACTTTATTAAAATATCTAGTTACATTTTTTTTGCTTCAAAATTACTTTTTTTCACTAAAAACATAATTACAGTTACGAGCTACCAATTCTGAAGAGTAACGCGTTACAGTTACTCAACAAGTAACGAATCGTTACTTTGCAATTACTTTCTTGCAATGGAAATAAAAACATCAGATCTGCATTTGCATCGTAAAGCGTTGATAAAGGCGTTTATGCGCAAATGCCAGGCCTAATGCGATCCGTGGAGGTTTAAGATCTATATATAAAGTAACAATTACTGAACTCTATATATATAGTGTATATATATAGTTAATTAATTGTTACTTTGCATATAGATCTTTTAGAAACCTCCACATTACTATATATAGTAAATTAGTTACCAATTATCGACAAAAATGTAACTTAGTTAAGTACAGTTACAGAGAAAGTGACGAAATTAAGTTACAGTTATCAAAAAAGTAGCTGTAACTGTAACTTCGTTACACAAGTAACCCTGGTATAAAGGTACTATTACATTCGTCGTAAATGACAAATCTTTTTAAGGGCGAAGTTTCACAAACGTCGGTTAACTGCTGACCGAAGGCTAATTGATTGCCTGTCCCTTCTTAGATGATAAGATAGAGAGAGATAGGGAGTTGACTGAACTCTTGTTAACAGTTAACCGACGTTTGTGAAACTGGCCCCAAGCGTGTCGATTGGCCGCGGGATAGAAAACTTTTAGATACTCGAGAGAACTTTTCTGTCCTGCGACCAATCGATACGCTTGAAAAATTTGTCGTACGACAAATGCAACACCGGCCTGACGGACAGCTGGATTTTCCCGGCCCGCTCGCGCATCGATCGACCGCGCCGTCAACCGGGTTGCACGTCGCGTGAGCAACGTGAGATCGAGAGTCGAACTCGGATTGGCGCGCTCGTGCCTCACGCGTGCGCGGCGCGGCTGCGCGGTCCCGACTTGACACCGCGCGGTCGCAGGATCGCGCAAAACCTTAAGTTTTTTTTTCTCTCTCTTATTTTTCCCTCGCGTCGCACACGGGTAAGTCGCCGGTCCGATCTTGCGCTCGGGATCCTAAGCCTCGTCTACAATAGTCGCACAGGTTGCGTCGCGTGTCGTGAGTAATAATGTCGCAGGAAAGTTAGTCGCGTGTCGTAAGAGTGTCGCTGAACGAGCGTCTACAATAGTCGCAAAGATTCGCGATAGCGTCAAATCGATCGCAGCCACAACGGATGCCTGGCGATTATTAATCTTTCTACAACTTTGCTCCCAATTTTTTAATTTCCCGTCTTTATATTGCCGCTTGCTCAGTGAAAACCCCAGATAGCCAGTGTGAGCACAAGTTACTTTCACATTGCTAAGAAAAATGTTAGCATCTTGCTGTGCATCTATGTCGTTTATTGTGCTGTTGTTTGCTAGCATTTGGTGTCGGAAATGAAACATTTGCATGATTCAAACATTATGCTAGCATTAAGTGCTTGGTCAGATGTAATAGATATAACATGTTTATATCTGTTAGAAAATTGAAAACAATATATGCTCATTCTTTGTTAACAGTATGCCTATTCGATGTGCTCTCTCTTTAGCTGTGCATTTAACTACGACAATATGTTAACATTATGCTAGCTGTACTTAAATCACTCAAACATTGAATTCATATTCCCAGCAAAGAGCAAGGATCAGTTGCTGGCATTTTATTTCCATACATTGCTTGAGCATACTGGCTATCTGGAACGCTTGATTGACGATATTCTTGTCCTTTTTATTAATTTTAATGCGCTTCTGCCACAACAGGGGGTTTGCGTGGACAAAGGCTATTATCTCCTTGTCTGCACTAACAATAAGATTGTCCTCGGCTTCCATTTTCTACGTTGTTTACATTAATAAGAAAATTCACTATGGATCAGCCAGCTGCTAGCAACACAAGGCACATCACTTTTAGCGCCAACGTACTATTAGATTGACTGATCTCATGCGACACGCTTGTCGCAGTCGCAGAAAGTTGAAGTTGGTTCAACTCTGTACGACAGGGGCTTCTGCGACGGCGGCAGCCTTAAGGCTTGTGTCCGCGATGCTAGAACTTGGACCAAGTTCTAGCATCGTGGACACAAGCCTTTACGACCGGAAACAATATACGACATGCGACTATTGTAGACGAGGCTTTATGCTCCTCGAGTACCGGCCTGAAGTGGGTCGTAAGATCCGTCCTAGCCAATGAGGATCGCACGGTGCGCCGAAATCGCGAGATAATGCTTCATTAGCTTAATCTCCTACTTGAGATTGATACGTACTCAAGTCGGACTGTGTACCGACCATAGTTCGATCCGCTGGATATCTCGAGTCCGGTCCCAAAATCCAAATGCCCGAAATGTCTGGACATCGCGCTGGCGATAGCGACTGTGAGGGAGCTTTAAGTGCGATCTCGCGGGCGGCCACGCGGTCATTTCATTGGCTGGACGGGGATCGCGCGATCATCCAAAGCTCAGATCGTGAGTAATCGTTCGATCTTGTAATCGAGATTGTTTTGACTTCGATTTTCAAATCTTCCGAATCGTTCGGCCAGTAATCGTCACATCGATCTCGAGACTGTACTTGAGACAATCTCAGATATAAGATCGGATTGCTCTTCACACCTGGACAGACTTGAAGATTCGACGTGCTCCGAGAGACGTTCCTCGGAGTTTCGCGATACCAAAAGTAAAGAGTGTAAATATTTATCCAAATTCCGTTTAGATTTTGAGCTTCGTCGCTTTAAATTTGTAATAAGAAAAAGAGGAAAGAAAGTGATTTTCGGTACCTCGCGAAAGCGATCTTTGCGTTTCTTCCGGCCGGACGTCTCGCAATGAGATACTTCGCGATCGACTTAAAAAAGAAAATCCATATCCTCGTTGCTCAGACCTGTGCACCTGTTACAGAATTGCGAGACGCCGATCTCTGAGAAACACCAAGGATGAACAAGGTGGACTACATGGAGGTGAGCCTCCCGAATTATTCCTACATTTTTAATTTCGAAGAGACGTTCAGCCACCACGAGACCAAGCAATGGATGGTGAAGAACTGGACGAACGGCTTTTACTACTGCGGACTGTACATGATACTAATATTCGGCGGACAGCACTACATGGCCAGCAGGCCCAGATTCGAACTCAGGGGAATACTGTGTCTTTGGAATACGCTATTGGCTAGCTTTTCTATCATCGGCTTCACCAGAACGGCGCCCGAGTTGATACACGTTCTCAGGCATCACGGGCTGCTCCACAGCATTTGTATACCAAGGTCAGTTTATTTCATTCAACTCGATAAACAATCGAGCCGGAGAACGGGAAGAGGAGGGACGTTTTGGCCGAAGTCGAATTAACAGTGGATCTTTGTTCTACGCGGTTAGGCGTATCTGTTTTAAAAAAAAATTGTTTTCAACGAAAACTTACTGCAAGGGACCTTTCGTCTCGAGCAAATTTAACTATGGATTTTTTTTTAAATAAATGATGTAATTGATTTATCATTAATGGATTTAATAACGAGTAAGAATATTAAATATACTTCAAATAACGAATTATAAAAAAAGGTAAATATCAAATTATTGTTGTTGTTCCAAAAAGATTGACAAAACGTAGTTTAATTATTGGGATAGAGTAGCAAAAACTTGCTGAAAAATTCATATTGCTTATATATGTCGTCATATATCTTTCATATGATTTAATTGATTCTCTTGTGACTATCTCCGCGAATAATGGTTATTAATTTCGCCACGCGTGATGATTTTTTTCTTATTAGCTTTGAAAGAAAAAAATGAGTACCCATGTGCTCATACATCATGGATCACGAAAATGTTTACTCGTATTTCTAAAACTCACGTTTAATTCGATGCAGATGTATTCGTGACAGAAATGCAGACATGCAGACATGCAGTCAGGTGCGCAGTATGCGTATTTCGACATTTGTACTATTTATGTACTGATTACATTAAAGCCAACGTCACACGATACTATTTTTCCTACTGGATTGCTTACGAGAACCAGGAGAATAAGGATGCAGAGTTTTAGATCAGATGACTCGATGCTAAATTCTGACTGGCTCTCGTAAGCAATCCAGTAGGAAAAATAGTATCGTGTGCCGTTAGCTTAAAACCTGATTGGCTCTCGTAAGCGATCGAGTGGAAAAAAAGTAGTTTCGTGTACCGTTGGCTTAAGTCATTGAATTTGCTAAATTCTACAAAAATCTCATCGAAACAAATTTATTTGAAGGTTTGCAAACGCGATAATACTCTTACTAAACATACGACGCATTCAAATGCGGGTTTCTTACAATTAGAATAGAAAGGCAGGAAATAATTTGAAAATTAAATTACATGTCTTACGACAGAAAGTCTTTAAAAGGTAAAGTCGTAACTCTTAATACGGAACTAAAAACACAAGAGCTTCAGAATTTTAAACAATTAAGGTACTTATTGGATGAGAATAATTAGGATTAATATTAGTAATTTTTCCGTATTTAAGGGTTTTTCATGCGTATAAGTGCATTATACGTGCATATCAATCATCTTCGTAACTCATTAGGATCGAGTTTCATAATTAAATTTAGGTTTAATTGTTTATGTATAGTTTGAAGCGAGTGATACTGACTATAAAATTAAATTTAATTGGTTTTCTACATTTATTTGTAAAAAGTTCGACTTTGAACAACTTTGCTCGACTTTGGTTACACAGAGAGAATTTTATGAGTTTTTTGAAATTTAAAGTTTTTGCGCCACACGTTTTACTAGTAATTGTACTTAGTATACATTTTACTAATAAAATGTATGGTAAAATTTCAAAAAACTCAAAGTTCTTAAAAATACCATGTTGTCCCACGATTACACGATTTTCAGGGTAAATTTTAAAAGAAAATTCTCTCCGTGTACATGTATACTACTTTACGTATGTGAATATGATTTTAAATATAATAATAAATGATAAGAAAATGAAGAATATCTATGCAACAAAAAGATAAGGAAAATGACGTACATGTTCAGAATATATTATAATAACACGACAAAGAAAAATCATAGAAGGCTCCTGGTCCGTGCTGTACTTAGTTGTTTAATGACGTCAGAAACAAGAAATAACACGCTTAGAATTCTTGCGTTACATTTGCAAGTGAAATATATTTAGATAAAAGACTTTTGGTCGCTTCAGCACATTTATAAAATTGTCTGAAAAATATTTTCCTTCGATAATTAACAACCATAAAATGAATGTAAATACAGAGCCTATTCATGCACCTGCGTATATAACTTGCATGACTATTCTTGGACAATTTTATAACTGTGCTAAAATGATTTGAAATGTTTTTCTCGTTCAAATATCTTTTTAAAATCTTGACATCATTAGATAAGAGCCGGTATTCATAATCAGATCAATTGAGTATCTAAAGATGGAGTATCTTAAGATGGTCTTCAATAGAAGATCTAACTATGAATACCAGCAAAGGACAAACACAACAAGGATTAGAAAACTGGTTACTAAAGATAGATAGATATATGTAGATTTAAATTTATGTGTATATATCTTCCGGTTACTTTTAAAATCTAAGAAATTTAAAAAATTTTATACTCATTTCCTACATTAATGAACTTGTTTAGTATAAATTTGCATTTTCTCTGACCCGCAGAAAATAAACATAACGTCCGTTTCTTGGAACTGCAAATAATGGCACTGAATAAATTATAATAAATTGAATGATGGTTTAACATTAGCTATTCCAGAAATGACAGCCGGAATTATTCTACAAGAAAATCGTCGATTTGATTGCAGTTTTATCGAGCAGGATGTCGTGTCGGGCTTCTGGACGTGGATGTTCGTGCTATCGAAACTACCCGAGCTCGGTGACACGATCTTCATCGTGCTACGCAAACAGCCGTTGATCTTCCTGCACTGGTATCACCACATTACCGTCTTGCTATACTCCTGGTTCTCGTATTCGGAGTATACCGCGTCCGCGCGATGGTACGTCGTGATGAACTATTGTGTCCACTCGATCATGTATAGCTACTACGCTCTCAAGGCGATGCGATACAGGCCACCCAAAGCGATCTCTATGGTGATCACTACGCTGCAGCTTCTCCAGATGGTGATCGGTTGCCTTATCAACATATCCGCGTACCAGTACCTAGAGAGTGGCAATGTCTGCAACATCACTCGCAGGAATATTCATTTTAGCTTCGCGATGTACTTGAGCTATTTTGTCCTATTCGCGCAATTCTTCCATAAGACGTACCTGGCTGGAAAGAAGACCGACAAGAAGCACTTTGCCAATAGCGCACCTGGTCGCATCGGCTATAACGACAAGCTCAAAGCCAACTAAGGCGGTACTTGGCACACTAGAGCACCTGGGCGCTCATTTTTCAATCTTTCCCCAATTGTCTTTTTCTCCATCCTTCTTTTTCCCTCTTTCTCTCTCTCTCTCTCTCTATTTCTTTCTCACGCCGCTGGTCGACGTAGCCATACATCCAGGATCTATTTATACTAGGATATATTAGGGTCTAAACGGCTTCTAGGATTCACGTGTTCGGTGATTACTATCGCTAAACTTAAAGTTTTACGACTGTGATGCGATTTTTTAATGATTATTTCCGCTTTATTTTCTTACTTTAAAATGATTTTGTTAAATAATTATGCATTAAGATTTTCATTCAATTTATGTGAATATGTATATTTTTTTAATTGATTGTGAATATAATACTGTAAATTTGAATGTATATATATATTTTTTTTAAACGTAACCTTTGGGCGCTTTACGTTAATTTCATTAATAATAAATATTGTTATTTATTTTCGATAACATCTTTTTGAGATGGGAGATACTAGTTTCAGGCCTCTGGAAACGTGTGAACCCATGTAGACATGTAGACCCGTCACTGCGTTGAATTCTAAGATATGAAATTATTATGTTCATTAAGGACGTTGAAATGTAAAGTTATAGGTATATATAGCCTAAGGTACACGGAACAGCTCTAAATTTTTAGAATTTGTAAATACGTCTGACAAGGATTTAGATTAATAGAGTTCGTATATAGGATTTCGTACCATCCTAGGAACCATCGAATCTTAAGTCCACGAGTCCTAGGAATCATATTTCTTAAACACTTTTTAGATTCTAGGAGCCGTACGTCCTAAAAAATTGTAGATCTTGGGTGCGATGTTTCTCAGGATCCTTACATCCTAGAACGTGTAAGACAGGACTTGTGGAGCACAGAGTCTGTCAATCCTCGAGCCCATAGATTCTAAGGTATATTTAAGATGCGTATTTCTCAGGATTCTTGTAAGATCCTAAGATCTACCAATAGGATTCGTGAAACAATGAATTGAATAAATTTTCGAATCTACAACATCTAGGATTCATATTTCATATTGGGATCTTTAGATTCTACGATCTGTCGATCTTAGGGTAGATTTTTTCAGGGTCCTTAGGTCGTAGGATACATAGATTCTATTCAAGGATCCATAGCCAATTAGCGTCCGCCTGTGCGCGGAGGGTATCCTAAGGAGGAGGTTCGCTTGGAGGGGGGGGGGGAGGAGGTGCACATAGCGATTCTCCTCTTTTCATTTTTTTACATGTATGTAATTAATAAAGAACTACTTTTGCATATGGTGGAAGCGTGTGCGAGCGTGCGCGCGTTTCTCAGGTCCGACCGGCTGTTGCACAATTGTTATTATAATTTTTTGTTACTATCTATATCTCTCTTTTGCAATTGAAACAAAAAAATATATATATCTATATATATATTTATTGGGTATTATTTAATAATAATTTGTAAGACCAAACACATATTCGTGTAAATAATTTCTTATAAATCCTATAGCACCAAAATCCAGATCTTACTCCCCATTATCTTGTCTTGAAATCGCCTTAAGGGGATGCTGGAGTGATTCTGCACTTTCGCACCTTTTGCACTT